CGTGATCGAATCTGGAATCTGCGCGGAAAACCTCCGCCAGGCCTGGCTAAACCAGCTGGACCAAACGGTTGACTAAGGACTAGTAAGGCAAAGGGGGGGGGGGAGGGGTCAGTTTCCCGTCTGCCGACATGCCGAGCCGAGCGCAGGGTAATGACATGTTTACCGGTAATAAGGGGGAGATAAGTACGGGGCCCCGTCGGGTACCCCGCGCGCCGTACCCCACTCCGTGCCGCGCCTCTCCTTACCCCACCCCACTCTACCCCGCCGGGTCGCACAACCACCCCTGTAGTAAACGCGCGTCGAGTTCACGCTCCTCGCGCCCTCGAACGCGGTCTTTTGGTTTAATACGCCCTGCATAAAAAAAAATTGAGAAAAGTTGCGACAAGTGTTAAATTTTGATCGTATATTTTTTTTTTCTTTGCAGGAGCCCGCTCCGCCGTCAAGCTGGCCGCCAGCGCCACCCTGCCCGCGATGAACCCCCACGGGCCCCACGGCGGGCACGTCGGAGGTCCCCACGGGGGTCACGGCCACGGCGCGCACGCCCCGCACCACTACCAGCCGTACCCGGACCTGTCGAGCCCCAGCCCCGTGCCGCACTCGCCCGCCCCCGACACCTCGCCGTTCAACGGCCACCCGGGGTCGGGTGGCGGCGGCGGGGGCGGTGGGGGCGGCGGGGGTGGAGGTGGCGGCGGGGGCAACCAGGGGGGCGGCGGCCACCAGCACCACATCGACGGCCACCACGGCGGCCACATGGGGCCGGGCCACCACCACAACCACCATCACCACCACCACCACCTCAACAACAATAACAATAGTACTGCCAACAACAACAAGAACAGCAGCAGTGGACATGCGTGTGCGGGGTGCGGGGGCAAGATCCTGGAGCGGTACCTGCTGCACGCGCTGGACCGGTACTGGCACCACAGTTGCCTCAAGTGCAGCTGCTGTGGGGGCCAGCTCGCGGACCTAGGTGCCTCCTGCTTTACCAAGGCCAATATGATCCTCTGCAAAGCGGACTACGCCAGGTGAGTTCATATTGCTTCTATTTTGAATATTTTTCTTTCTTGTGCCCAAATTTTGCCTCGGCACTTGAGTGATTGTCTTTCAGTGAGGCCTGTCTATCCACCAGATTGTCGTATAGTCGCGTCGGGTTTTCAACATTCGTCAGTTTTCGTGGCTGTTTTTTGATTTTTCCGTCGTCATTTGCCAGGAAATGTGTCGGTACGGTGCAGGCGCGAGTGGTTCGACAACATTGGTTCTGCTCTGAGGAAAGGGCCTCGGTCGCCTCCTCCGGGGCCGCCACCACGTCGCTGCGAGCCCTCCCCTCTTCTCTCCTCTCATTCCCCTCTCTTTCAGTTTCCTCCCCCTGTTTAATATTCATTATTGATAGTCGCTTGAGACGCCGCAAGACGCGCCGCGACGCCCGGCCAGCCCAGGCCTTCCCCTCGTTACACGGACCACTGAACCAGCCGCACGCTGCCTATTGATTATTTATCGTTACATATTTGTCATTAATTACCGATCAAATTGCGTGGGAGCGCGTGCGCGCCGCGTCGTCACGTCAATTACCGTGACGTTTTATTCTTTGTTTTTTGTTTTTCCTCTTTGGTTTTTCTTCTTTTATTTCCCGCGTTTCCGGTTTTTAGGTTTTGGATGGTCTGAGCGGACGAGCTGCTGCTGTTGCTGGACTAGGGCTCATATCCACTCCCGGCGGGGGAGGCGAAGGGAACAGAGGGAACGGGGTGGGAGGGGGAAGGGCCGTAGTGACCGCAGTGAAGGTACACACGCCCTAGGGAGGGAGCGGGAGGGAGGGAGGGAGGGTGCATCCCCAATCAGAGGTACCGACTGCAATAAGTTGCCTTCGTTTTCCCTTCCTCACGTCTCCCTCTCTCTACTCCATACCCTCTACCCCTTCTCTATCTGGTTCTATCTCCCCCTCCCCGGCTCCACATACATAGTGTCCGTCTTGCTTGTCTGTTCTCTCCGTCTCTCTCTTCATCCCCCCGTCTCTCTCTCTCCCTCTACCTCCCCCGCCTCCCCTCCCCTCCTTCCCTCCCTCGCTTGCCAATCAGGGTGCAGAGAGAAGCACGTCTGATTACAATCCCACCACAGCGAATCCAAATGTGCAGCCAGACTGTTCCCAGCCGACCTCTCCCTCCCAGTTTGCTTTCTCCTCCTCCCCTTCACCCTTCCCTTTCGCTTGTCCTCTCACGTTTGTATATATGGCTCCCTCTTCCATGTCCAAATGATGAAACTGCACTTATCGACCTTTTTGGACTGAAAAAAAAGAAGCGAGATTCTCGATGTGATTTTCTTTAGGAGTAAAACACACACACAGGTAGCCTGTCTGGGAATCGCTTATATATAGACGTGTTTCATTTATTGGGGGAAAATTACATTCTTCCGCCCCTCGAGACACCACACCTCGTCTTCCCCTGCTGCCCCCTGTCTCGCCGTACAAACAGGGCGCTTACCCCTGCCCACACACACACGCACACACTCACGCACACACACACACACACACACACACAAACGGGCCGATTGTGATAAATTGTCGCCAATAAGTCGTTTCCTCGCGGGTCGCCCCGCCCTACCCGCGGGGCCACCGAGTTGTGATTCGATTCCTGCCCAGGCCATGACACCATCGCCCTTTCGCCGTCGCCTTCCTCCTCCTTCTCCTCCCGCCGAAGGGGTGCTGTGGGGAGGGGAGGACGTGAGGTTAGGGAGGGGGCGGCGACGGGCGAAAAGGGGTTTGTAGCCGTTGTTGACTCGATTAGGAAGTGGCTGTATTGCGGCGTGATCGAATCTGGAATCTGCGCGGAAAACCTCCGCCAGGCCTGGCTAAACCAGCTGGACCAAACGGTTGACTAAGGACTAGTAAGGCAAAGGGATCTCAGGATCACAGTAAGGTGAGACGGGGGAAATGGAGGGGACGGGG